CTGAGCAAGAGAAGCTACCACATTGAATCTACTATAGTCAGAGATCCCCACTGGATACTGCTTACATAGAGGTCAGTGAAGTGTAAAAGTTAAAATGCTCCAAAAGCAGATGCATTTATGCCCACCGGTGACTAAATGGATTGCAACTATGCCTGTATTTCTGTTGCATTCATTCTATTAACTTGTAGGAAGAAATCTGGCTTCTTAGTTTACGTGGGAGGGACCTTGTTTTCGTACCACAGTAATTTTAACTGGAATTTTAACAACAACAACAACAAAAAAAGCCATTCTATGTAAAAATCAATCCAAATTATTTTGAAGTGTCATTCAAAAATCCTGCAGAGAGCAAGAGAAATTATCTTAGATGTTCAGCCTAATTAATATTTAATTTATGTGAAGTTGATCAACAGCAACAGCAGCAATTGAGAAAGGGAGACAAACTGATTAGACCACTCGTCTATAGTACATCTGGATTGAAGTGGTCTTGACAAGTTTCTATTTATTTAAACATGGAAAAGAGGCATAGATTTTATCTTGTGCCTATGTAAAATAAAAGCTATGGAATTCTAAAAAATAATAAGAGTTTCGCAAGCAGAACCGAATATTTTGCTGGTTAAAGAACAAGCTGCCAATCGGAGTTAGATGAGATGAATGACTCGTCTGATGGCTGTGTAACGCTACATCATCGTAGCACTTAGTGATGTTTTTGGTCTTTATGAATCTGGCAGCTTAGCAGCGTGACAGTTGGCACTGACATCCTAAGACTTATTTTTAAACTTGGCAGTGATAGATAAAGGCTTGTTTTTAGATTTATCTCAGGAAGGTATTTTAAAATGGTAATTTAAAAATCTCATTTCAAAGAATTCATTTAACTTACTCATATATTAACCATTTCTAAAACACCCAAAGCAAATATGTATGGAGGCAATAATTCATGATTATTTTATAGATGTGTTCTCTGTGTTCTCTGTGTTGAAACATTTCATTAAATGAGGTACAATTATGTACTTCGTAAATGGTCTCACAAATGATTTCACAAATGCCAGTTAATAAAGTATTAAATAAAGAACTTTCAGTGATATTTTTAATAAGGCACGCTAAATAATGCATGCCTGCAGTTCATTTACAACTGTCTAAAGCTGCAATTTTCTTTAATTGATAAGCCTTACAAAATGTGACTTGAAATGACAATATGTCATTTGATGATGCTTTTTGAAATGTCACTCAAGTTTTTAATTGCATCTATTCTGTTGCTAGTGATAAAGCAGTAAGAAGAAGAATAGAAGTGACATAGCAAGGGAAACTTTCTTCAGTAACTGATGTTGAATTCGATGTATTAAATCACTGCTATGCTTCGTATGAGTTATGTTACAACAGTAACGTAGCAAAAGGAATCGTCCTTTCAGATCAGGACTCTGTCACGTAAACTGGGGTGAAATAGACAGGCCCGATCATTTAAACTGAGATCGTAAATTAATTTTAAAATTTTAAATTCTGGCTTAACGGCTATTTTTGGCTCATTGTGCAGCAAACAACTTTTACTTGAGTGAGTATTTTGTTAGCTTTTATGTAGAAAGGAGATACAGAATACAGGACACTGCACTCCTGAATTTTGTGTGAGGAAGATCTGGTAAAAAATGACTGTATGTTCAAAAGATACCTAAGCCAAACAACTCTTTGGACTTTTTCAAAGACACTATTTCTGCCCTTCCCCTGTCCTTGGATAGCTGCTTATCAGGGTTTGCATCTTACTTGTAGGAAGATCTCATTAATAAAATACTGTTCCTTGTCTACAACCAAAAACTGAGCTAAACTGTATACTTCTCATTGAGATTTAATCCCTTCCTTATGCAAGAAAAAGTACACCTAGCCAAAAATACCAAATTGTTATTTTTTTGGTGAGATAATTGTTTCTAGTTTGTCAGAAAAGAAAAGAAAAAAGAAAAAAAGAGGAAGAAAAAAAAAAGATTTCAGGTATTATATCTATGCTGGTGCTCTGTCTGACTGCGCTAAGTGGTTGCTGTGTTCTTACCTGACTAACGTTACCTTTCCCTTGCTGAGCTAACTTGGTCTCTCGCAATTGCTGTTATGAATAGATTAAATAGTCCTGCCTCCCTCTGGGCAGATATCTCTAGCACATGTGCAGTAGATATGTCTTCTTACCAAGTTCTAAATGGTACAGGCTATGCATGTTTGTATGTACGCTCTATACAAGACAGGTATTTTCTAAATTTAGCGCAATTAATTCCTAACTACTGAGAGATCCAAATGTTTGTAGCTTTATACTTCAAGTAGTCAATTATGCTGATATGAACAGCACTTTGTGCAGTTGCTTACAACTTCACAATAACCATGAGTGTTTAGAATTAATTACTTGCATATTTTAGAACGCAGTTTGCTGATCACTGTGAGTTAAGAGTTTTGCAGGGCTCTGTGCACTGTGAAGCTGCTGCGGGCGCTGAGATGTGATGTTGGGGCTGTGTCAGGAGCACAACACAGAGGATGGAGGCCCAGCCAAAAGTGAGCGTGGGTGCACGGAGAGCCGCCTGCTCGGAGGCCAGCTGTGAAACACAGCTTGTCTCCACACCATGCAACGCTGCGACCCTCTGAGTGCTGTGCCCACATCCTGCCTGCCTGCACTAGTTCTTAGGCAGTTTATTACCTGTTTTCATATTCAATGGCCCTGTTGTCACAGCCTGGGTGCTGCCTCTCTCCGAGGAAGTCCCCAAGCACCAGCTGCTGGAGCATGGGAATGTGTCAGAGGAAGAAGCTTTGGGTGCAGGCTCTGCTTTCCCTAAGCATCCACTCCTGTCAGAGGGAAAATGCTGGTGCTCTGTCTGACTGCACTAAGTGGTTGCTGTGTTCTTACCTGACTAATGTTGCCTTTCCCTTGCTGAGCTAACTTGGTCTCTCGCAATTGCTGTTATGAATAGATTAAATAGTCCTGCCTCCCTCTGGGCAGATATCTCTAGCAGCCTGAGTTCCCCAGGCTTCCAGTGGTAATGCACACTGTATAAATCTAGCCTTTTATAGGGGATTGCCAAAAATAATCAGCTGTAGAAGCCTTCCGTGTCAGCTCTAAAAGTCAGCGCTTTAGAGCTCCAACCTTATTCCAGGACTCGCAACATAAACAGTGAGTGGCATCTTAATCACCACTAGCGTGTTACTTGATGTCAGTATAAACTCAGTGGGAGATGGTGTCACTGCAAATGTTGTCATAACAGAATTTAACAACAAGCAGCTGGTGCCAAAGAGTTAGGGCAGGCTTAGTAATTCTGGGCATTTTCCTGTCTACTTGCGATGGGAAAAACCTGCTTGATGGCCTCCGAGAACTCAGGTACAACCTGGGTAATTTAAACTCATACATGTGTATTCTGTTGGTTAGGGGAAAAAATACACAATAAATCAAATATGATAAAATATTATCAAGCAGAAAGGCTTAAAAAAGTAGCAACACTCCTTTTTTCTGGTTTTAATGGTCTACTCTAACACTGACACTGATGATGACCGCAGTGGAAATCAATATCTCACTATTAGTCTTTGTACTGAGGCATTGACACAGGATGTATCAAGTTAATTTGTTTTTCTTTGTCTTTCTTAGATGATGATATGATGTGAATGCTTGAAACCTATCCAGTCAAGACAAAGGGAAAAAAAAAAAAAAAAAGCCATTCCAGACACTCTAGATATTATCAGAAAACAAAGTTTTAACTATCCATCTCATTTATTATGGGTTTACATACAAATTATTTTAGAATACAAATTATTTTAGAATAATTTGTATGTCAGCTTCAATGCTCAGTTTTACCCCGGACTTCTTAAAATTTCCCTGCCTTCCCCATTTTGGCCCTCATAGGCCCAACGGTCTTTTCGGTATTCAGTGTATCAAGAGCAGAAGAGGGAGTTGAGGGAAGAATCACACAAATGGCCTGATTGAAAAACAGAGAGAACTCTTTTAGGAGTGCAGACCTATTTCCAAAAAGAAATTGTCTTTCATTTAAAAAGAGTGTCAGGGCCCAGAGAGTAAGATATGAAATTTAATGAAAAGACCTGCCCTCCTCTGAGAAACTTCCGTGGCAACAAATCATGAAACTCTAGATATCCTTGGCTACCACAGACTTCATACATTTCTTCAAACCAAAAGGTTACTGTATATATAAAAAAGCGATTGTAAAGATCGCTACATTTTGAATTGTCTTCAGCAGTTTTCTCTCCTTTTCCAATACTTAGTTCTTAAAGAAATTGTTCTGTTCTGTTCTGATCCTCCCTTTTATTTTAGTCTCTTATTAATAATCTCCTTTTTAATGTCTAATCGCACTATTCCTCTTCTTTTGATTCAAATAAATCCTTTCTCCTTCAAGTCTTCCTTTAAAACGCTCTTTCTCTGACAGCTTTGATTTTCTGCTCCTACCTTATCTGTTGTCTTAATTAGTTATTCAGTTAGTATCCTAATTAGACTGTAAGTTCCTTGTGTCAGGCACCTTGTCGAGCTATTTGTATTTAAATCTCCACATGCCCTTGTAGTATGTAAATAATACATAATGATAATAGCAGCAATTAAAGATAATAAAATGGACAAAAATTAAAATACTTCTCTTTTGAGCTTGCACTTACGCAGAAATATTCTTAATTACTACTGATGCAGCTTTCATAGCTGTGTTACAACATACTGAAAGGAACTTGATGAGTTTTTAATTTTTCATGCCAATGAGTTACATAGATGACATTTTTCTTTCCTAATTAAATCTGTTCAATACTCTGTGTTAAGATGAATAAAAATATCTTTAAAGCCTTCATTGAAATCTTCATGGGCAAGGAAGAGTACAAAAGGTCTGCTAAACCCTTTGGTCACAGATTAAGCAATGTTCCAGGCTCAGCAGCAAATCCGTGTGTATTGAATGCGTGTGAGAGAAGAATGTGGTTCGCTATGCCAAGAACAAGGATGATGATTTCCATGTCTAACATGCAACTCCACTAATAACTGATAATCTCTTCATCAGCTGAAGGAGCTTGTGGAGGGACACTACGTGGGACTAGTGGAACTATTTCAAGTCCTCATTTCCCTTCAGAGTATGAAAATAATGCTGATTGCACCTGGACCATATTGGCTGAACCAGGAGATACCATTGCTTTGGTCTTTACTGACTTCCAGTTAGAGGAAGGATATGACTTCTTAGAAATCAGTGGAACAGAAGCACCATCAATATGGTAAGTCAGAGATCTTGCAAAGATCTCAGATTCTGTTTTTCTTGTTTGCTGATGAGTCTTTTGGCAAAGTAGTTAATGCCAGCTATCTCTCTAAATGTTTGCTTGAATGTTTTATTATACATTTTCCTTTGGTCCCTTTCACTCTCCAGAGCTGAAAGCAATGTGGCAGTCTGCTTTCTTCCCACTCCCCGTCCCTCTTCTTTTTTCCACCATCTTCAAATGTTAGATGATAGGATTATCTTAGCAGTGAGCATTTGCTGGTGTTATATGCAGAACTGTTTGAATTTGATATGAGAGTGTTTCCAGATGTAGGTTGAACAACTTCTCTATTATACTCCAATAATTAATGTAGAAAGGAAAATTCCGCCCCAGAAAATCAGGAATATGGGGAGAACAAACATATGCGATTTTATGCTAAACGGGCTGTAATTCAATCCTACTTCATGTACTAATGTGCTAATGCACGTGTAATAATGTACTAATTATTATCGTATACTGTTTGCTAAACAATATTAAGACTTATTCATTACAATGTTAAATCTACACTCTCTGCTTGGAGTAAAAGAAGATAGTTTCGTTTATGGGAAATAATTTAATTGCAGTACAGTTTGTATTAGGATTTCTCTGCAATCTATAGATTAAGTTTTGTTTCTGAGAAAACTTATGTTCAATATCTTATGCTTAATATGTGTGTTTTTATATATAACACGTAGCCTAGGAAAAAAAATACAAGTCTACAGACCTGCTCACGATGATTGATGGACAATATCTTTCTGAGAAAGATAATATGTTCTTTCTGAATTTCTGATCCAATCTCACTATTACATTAATGTCATGATTAGCTAGACAATGCATTATATTAATGATCATGAAGTTTTAAGTAGCATCTGATCTATTTAAACTATCTGTATAAAAATGTGCAGACGGTATGCTTGGTAAAAAAAGTAAAACCTCTGTTTTGAAGGGACTCCTGCACCTGCTTTACAGGATTGTTCTTCTATACTTCCAAATTACCCAAAATTCTTTAACAGTATGTATTGAAGCAGCTCAGAATTGAATTAAGTGCTCGTGTCTGTCTGTCAGTATGATATCAACCCTCTCTCTCATGCGCAGGCATGCACGACAGTGATGAATTCCATTTTTTTTCCTAAGGGCCAAAAATTTTAATCTGGAAAGTGAAGAACTAATGGAATCTTGTACAGAATACAAAAATCTGCCTATTCAATTTTGAGTGCAAGTCCCAAGGGATAGCTAACAACATATGTGCAACTTTACTGTTAGAAATTCAGCTGTAACTGAACTTGAGCATACAAATACAGGAGGAATTTTAAATTATAGCCAATCAGCCATACATATTGATTCTCTAGTTGGCTTATCATAATGGATGGTGAAGAAAATATGAGCAGATAGTAATATACATGTGCCATACATTAATCCCATATTGCATTGGCCAGTATTAATTTTATGAAATCTGAGATAGGGTAAAAATCTTCTTTCTCAGCCTGAACATTTTTTTCTTTTCTCCTGATAATTTTTGTTTCTACTTTGCAAGCTAACCTCTGATTAGTAAACACTAAGGGTTTATTATATGTTCCTAGGATCATTACTAAAAGTTTGAAGAAGCAGTGAGAAGTTCCGTAAGAAATATTAAAAAGATTATTGGATTATCTGGAGTGAAGCTACACATTCAGTTCTACTATCAAGAACTGTTACCATAGCTACATTAGAGACAGGCTAAATGTGATGCAATCTACTAAAATCAGCTTTATGTTTAAATGTGAATTTGCTTTGTACTAAAAACTAATGGTCTGTAGGTGTAGTATTTTAAATGATGATTTTTTTTAGCTGCTTCCTTTTACTGTCGTCATGTCAACAGCTTCATATAGTATTTCTGTTTCAGACAACACATACTCTGTTAGTATGGCCCAGTAATTATAATAGTTCTTTAAATTAAATGAGTATTTGCTCTTAGCCAAAGATTTTGCTAGTTAAGAACACAGAAATACAGATATATTAGCATGCAAAAACTAGAAAAAGAGTGAATGTGAAGAAAATAATTTCAGACTGATAACTCTTTAGTGCTTTTATTAAATTGCACAGTAGCTCTGGATTACTCTCTGCAGATTTATCAACCAGATTAAAAGCCATTCTAAAATGTTCACTGTGAAAAACGGATGGACATTTTAGAAACAAATAAAGTGATTGAAATGCAAGAAAAAGGGAGGTTTAAATGATGAGGAAAAATAATTTGATACACTGACAAATATTATGTGTGTTATGTATGTTTCTAAAGCTTCTTTAAGATGCTTGGTTAATTTCCAAATTATACGTCTGGTTGATAATCTGTTTTCCAATATGTTGAAAGGATCAAAGCAATTTGGTCACCTTTACATACTTTTAAAAGATTATTTGAAAGTAATTTATAAAATCCACTCTAGTATTACTCATTTATAAAAGATGAAAGTGATAACACCTCACTGTTATGTCCATGATACAATTTTTGTTATGCTATGCTCTGCAATTTTAGTGTCCCAAGCTATATAAGGCTGTTTTTAATTGTTAGAATCCAAATAAAATACTCGTTTGTATTCTAAACTTTAAGAAGTATCAAATAGTGCATGTTGAATAAACATATTTTGAAATAAAAATCAGGACTGTATCAGAAGTGGAAAGCATTCCACTGGGAATCCTCTCTCCCATTGTAATGAGTCTTTCCCAAAACAACCTTATTCTCTGTCACAACATAAGAAAGATTTTGTTGTTGTTGTTGGGTTTTTGTTTGTTTGTTTGTTTGTTTGTTTCGGATGGAGTCATCTAATTCATGAGATGATAGAGTTTTGTTTTGTTTTCTTTTTAATTTGGATGGAGTAATCTATTTCATTTTAAGTTAGGTTAAGCTGGGCAATTCACAAGGCTGTAGATAGGTCAGATGTGTGCTTGCTCATGCAAACGTTAGGGTTTGACCTAATTTTGCAAGATTAAAATACACTTGACAGAAAAATATCTGAGAGTATTAAGGTATGCATGAAAGGTGATTATGATTCTAAGTATAATTCTGCAATTATTAGTTTTGAACTTGAGATCTTAAAACTAAGCATACTCTGGCTAAAATTTAATTTGTTTTTATCCTACTTTATCTTACAATTCTAGTGTTATCTGAATAAGCTTACTTTTGGATTTCAATTATTATCCTTCATTTTTTTTTGTAATGAAAATACAAGAAAACAAACTACCTTTTAGACTTCAGTTTATTCCACATTTGTCTCCTAATACCATTTAAATATAGCTTGAGGAGTACTCTGATTTCCTTTATAAATCATCTGAATATTTTAGGGAATGTCTATAAAAATGTATGTGAATGAGTGTGACATAGAAGCAGTGACACCCAGCTGCTTTAACTGTGGCTTGTGCTGTGACACAGATAGCTGCAGCTCTGCGAAACTCTCTTCTTGCTTCTACTCAATATCTTGTAACAATCGGGTCAAAATAGTAGGTTGTGTTTCTTAGGTAAATGTGGCAGTACAGTTCAGGTCTGTAGTATTCAAATCTGAGCATTTCCTGTCTTGTTTATAGAGAGCTGTCTTAGTCTTGTACCCTCCTTGTGAGAGGTCTGTATTTAGTGTAGTTGAGTGTGAGAGGTCTGTATTTAGTGTAGTTGAGTGGTGTAATTCATTTTAATATGCGCCTATCCATAACAAGGCAAAAATTTACCCCAGAAGTTTATCAGAATATAGCTAAAGATCACCATCTGTTGGCTTACTATGAAAAGTTTCATATTGATGTTTGTTCAATAAAGTTGTTATATTCCAGAAAAAGCATTTAACAATACAGGGTTCTGTTTTTTTTCATCCTTTTCCATCAGAAAAGATGTGCTGTGATGATGCAAGGAGAGGAGGACAATTAGACTGCAGTTTTTTTCATTTGAGAGCCCTATTTGATTTCATTCATCCGCTTGTATGTTCTTAGCCTGTTTAGAGCGTTTTTGTCATGATGAAACTCTGCTGACCTCATGTAATGGTTTTGGTGATGCTAGTGAAGATTTGTCCTCCTGTCTCTTGACTTTCAGAAGCTCTTCCTACCTTTCAGTAATTTTTAGCTGGATTACCTATTTTACATGTTTTGATTAGGAAACTGGATTCAGTGGGTATAGGTATCTGTGCTTGATAATTTGCTGTCTGTGGAACATGGTTGCTAATTCTCCCCGGAGTACAAATAGGAATTGTCCTGCAGTGAGCAACTTTTTACTGTGATATGACAGGAAAGGAATTTGCAGTTGCTGTTAAATTCTTCCTGATAAATTCTTCATGTTGCCAAATTCTCAGTTTCTTTTGAAAAGTGCATAGCCTCTCACATTTGAAAATCAGCATTAATGCTGCTTTGCACTTGAACATGGAAGTGCCTTACACTTGAAATATCAGAAGACATTTTCAAGCAAGTGTAATAACATTAATAACTTTTATAACTGACTTCACATAGACTTTTAACAAAGTTCTATGGAACATTTTTTAAAAATCCAATGTATACTCTCAAGAAAGATACTGTGTGTGCCTGTATGAGGAGCTGTGGAAGATAGAAAAATAGAGTGTTCATGCTGGATAGAATGCTGCATTTTTGCATTTAGTGATATGTTCATTTACCATAATAGAACTAAAATTATATGATATGTATTCATGAAATATAAATATATGTCCCTGCTGACTGATTTATTCCATGTTACTTTTGAAGACTCTTAAACATAACTTTTCCCCAGCTTCTAAGTCCTGTTGGTTGCTGCCTTTGCTGCTGACACTTCATTTCCCATGACTACTTCTAGCATTTTGTGTTGGCAACACCAGTGCTGCCTTTCCTTCTCCTCCCTCCAACGTGCTGTTTCCACATCCTCCTCCAGATTTTGCTATCAGGTTCAAACAAGAGTTGACACATTCCACTTGAACTTCTAGACTTTTTTTTCCCTTGATCTCTGGTAAATTAAGGTATGAAAGTCAAGCTTTCTTTTCTCT